CATCTTTCTTATTTCTTTTTGTATATGTTAATTTCGTATTTTTCCCGTTTCTGTGTGTACAATATCTTTCTTAAATGTAGCCTACATTATTGTTTTACTGTGCGGAAGATGGACTCAATCCCCAACCGCAGGCATTAGCCCGTTTGGGGATTCTATTTTATAATTTGTTTTTGTACCATTGTACTAATTCTCTACTACTGAAATAAAAAAATAATTCTTCATTCATTCATTCATTATTCATTCATTCATTTATACTCGATAACAAGACCCTCAATAACAAGTAACCCTTAATAACCGGTGTCATTTTCAAATCCCATTGAATTTATTTTACCCTTAATCACATGTTTCTTGCAAACCTCGACAAGAAGTCAACTTTGATAGCAAGTCTCATTTAATAATCCCCATGAGAGTCTTGTTAATGAGGATCTAAATTAATTATATACTTTAAGCTGATTGCCAACACATTTTTCTATAGAATCCAAATGTAAGTTCACAAAGTTAAATCGTGATATCCCTGCATTTCCTAGTTGTTCCGAATAGTATAGCATCAAACTGAATCATTTGTCTGATTCTCCCTTGACCTTGTAATGCTTCTTGTAATTCACTGACCACATTCCTAGAATGCAATTGTAGATGCGTGCAAGCGTGCGGAAACACCTTCGTTCTGCTGGGTGTGCGTGTCTATGAAAATAGTGCGTATGTTGCCACATTCTTCTGTCCTGACCTCTGAAATGTTCACGGTGGTCTCTGGTCAGATTCAATCATCAACTAAGTAGTTGCGTTAATAGTGCGTATGTTGCCACATTCTTCTGTCCTGACCTCTGAAATGTTCACGGTGGTCTCTGGTCAGTTTCAATCATCAACTAAGTAGTTGCGTTAATAGTGCGTATGTTGCCACATTCTTCTGTCCTGACCTCTGAAATGTTCACGGTGGTCTCTGGTCAGTTTCAATCATCAACTAAGTAGTTGCGTTAATAGTGCGTATGTTGCCACATTCTTCTGTCCTGACCTCTGAAATGTTCACGGTGGTCTCTGGTCAGTTTCAATCATCAACTAAGTAGTTGCGTTAATAGTGCGTATGTTGCCACATTCTTCTGTCCTGACCTCTGAAATGTTCACGGTGGTCTCTGGTCAGATTCAATCATCAACTAAGTAGTTGCGTTAATAGTGCGTATGTTGCCACATTCTTCTGTCCTGACCTCTGAAATGTTCACGGTGGTCTCTGGTCAGTTTCAATCATCAACTAAGTAGGCCATCATCTTTATATCTTCCCGCAAACTGCTAGCATTTTTATAACATTGTTTAACGATCTTAAAGCTTATTTTGGAGGTACAGAACTGTATAAGTACAGTAGTTTATAATCGTACTAATATACCTAACTTTAACAAAAAAATCCTACATTAAATGTCTGAATTTCATTAGTTGTAGGCCCAATGAACCTGGAAATTTCAAATCTTATGCTCACTCAATGTAAAAGAAGCTTTACATTACCGTTAAAAGTATTCAATAATGAAAATTTATTACGAGATATATCTATTACAAAGTTATTGTTATATCATTGCAACTAATAATTTAAATTGCCTAATACACCTTGTAATTAATATTCTCATGATTGAATGTATTATACTTTTGACGAACCGATTTCCATTTGTTCTAGACCGGTGTCCATTAGTTGTGATGTTGTGAGTGGTCAGATGTTTTATTTTTAGAACTTGGATGGCAACGATAAATCGATATTTTGGAACAATAATTTTTACTCCAAATATATAGAAAATTTCCAATAATTTTTTTTAACAATTGGAAAAACCTCCATACATTTTTCAAACATGTTTTTCATAAAAAATTACTTTTCTGTTTTATTAAAGTAGGCCTATTGCATTTCTTTTTTACTCCTGTGCGTTTTTCATCTCATGTATTTTTTGACATTTGTCTTACAAGTAAAACAAATACTCTCTTTCGTCTGTACCCCGCCATCAACATTTTTCCTTGTGGGAATGCTGTGGCCCATGTTTTGGAGCCATCGTTGTAGAAACCGTAACGCACAGTCAAAACGATAAAAGATATACTAGTAGACCTGTGTTAGTATTGGAGAATGCTCTGAGATATCTCCCGGGGAAAACTAATACGATTATCTTATCAGCGATTCTTTCTTTCGCGGCGGCTCTGTCTCTGTGCTGCAGGCAGATTCTGCATGGCCACTAGCACGCTATTGTACAGACGCGCCGTGGAAATTTCCATTCATTCCGAACCCGGCGCCTCATAGCCTCATAGCTGTAGCACTGACGGTGGCAATCAAACACTGATTACTGTCATTAGAAATGTGGTGGATTTGGTGTTCTAGAACATTCCGATAATTATATGTTTGCAATAAGATTCGGTCGTTTTCAAATTAGTAGGTCACTTTCATTACAGTTTATTTTTTGAACGCCAATAATGTTTGTCTTTGCTAAACACGCTAGTGTAATTTTCTGTCACTACAACTTTTGGGGAAAGTGGATTTGCTTATCACATGTTTGTGGATTTGCAGGGATTGAACTCGTCACTCTGGCACTGGAGTGTGATGCGCTTACAACAAGACTGTCAACACAACCCAACTTTTAGTGTGGTAATAGTTTGGCGTTGCTATTGCAGTAAAATGTGTTAGAGACAAGGCGTTATACTTGTCGGACACATGTGCTTTTTATTCCTCCTTTTTTCATTTATTTTATTTCCTTGGTATGGTCATAGTTTAGCGTTACATCGATAAAATGTGTCATAGGGAGTAAAAACAATGAGTACTGATGGAATTGAAGATACACTTTAGTTGTTGTAACGTATTGTAGAGTGTAGACTCCTCTAATTCATTTAACGTACACTTGGAAAAACAGTTTTTCGTATATAATTTCCATAGGTTATAAGTCTAACAGCTGTTTGAGTTGTTTATTGTATCAAATACAGCGTTTTATCACTATGGAAACCCTACTAATTGTATATGATGTTTTTTTTACGCAACCCAAATTACAAGTACTACAAGACACTTTTTGACGGGTCTGACTTAGGGGAGGTACGAATGAGACATTAGTTCAAAATTCCTCCGTGAACAGCGCTGTAGTAGAGAGTACTTTGGCAAAGAAGGTTTACTAATCGCAAAAATAGTTCTGTTCATCAAATAAAATTATAAATGCCTCAAATTCAATTTTATTATTTTTTAATTATAAAACTAAACTATCATAACCTAACCGAACTAACCAAACTTGCTGATAATGAAATAATATAACAAAAGTTTATTAATAGAAAAAATAATTCTGTTTATTAAATAAAACTAGAAATTGCTCTACTAAAATTTTATAATGACTTTAAAATAAAATTAAACTGTCATAACCGAACCAAACCAACCAAACTTGCTGATAATAAAAAAATCTTGGACAAAAAGTTAATGCCACGAGCGGGATTTGGACCCGGGACCTTCAGCATATCAGCCCGGCACGCTAACCATTAGACCACCGAGGCCGATAACTACTGATTGTTTTGTTACGGTAATGGCGTTCCCTCAGCTAATAAGAAGCCCACAGCTGTCATCGTAGCCTCTTCTATACCTCCCCTGAGTAAATACCCTTTTTGACGACGAAACAAGATCATATTTTGATATTCCTATATCCTTTATTGCATTGCCAAACAGCTGATATTCATTGTTGCAAATGAATTCTAGTGTTATTGGGATTTTATTGTGAATAAGTCTCAACTTAGTGTTTCCAAAAGCTCTGTTTTGGCATGCGAAAAAGACCAGCGTCTTTTTACAATAAGTTATCAATAACGCTAAACCTCATAGATATCTGGAACTGTGCATATTAGCCGATCGCCAATGAAGTAAAGAAAACAGGGATACCATCACTGCTTTTTGGTAGCTGTGATTATTTACTTAAACCGGTATGCTAACATTTTCAATTAAATGTTGCCTATTCGTCAAGTGTCATTGTAAAAGAAATATTTTTTTCAGTGTTTGACATAATTTCAACTATAATTCCCCCCGAACTTGTTTTACATAAAAAACGGAAGTTGTATACCCTGCATTATTTTGTTTTCAACGATTTAAAGCAAAAATTGCACAAGAACTGATGTTTCAACATTCAAAAAGAAGTTTCTACGATATCACTGAAAAATGATTTACATGCCAAAGTTAAATTTCCATATGAAAATCGTATCTCAGAGTACAAATACATACTCTGAGGTCGTATTTGTCATGTAACGCCTTATTACACGGGTCAGCAATGTCGGTACAAGAGTGTAGAGATTTTGCAGCGTGCCGCGCCTGTTGTAGCCTCTGAAAATGTGATACAATAAAGTGTTTTCTATTTGCATCTGCACTGTATTTAAAATTTAATATGAATACTGTGTGAAAAACATTACAGTAGTTAATATTACGAACCGTTAATTTACTACCAGATACTACGCACAATACAGATGTATTGATGCTGTGTAATTCAATATATCATGGATTGGATTAGGTGGGATGTGTAATGGATTTTGTAGGCTTACACATCATGTTATGCAGGTGTTGTCATCTTTACGATATTAAGTGTTGTTATAATTGTTAGGCCTATAATATTCGTATAAACGTAATTGAATTTCAATTGGTTGTCCAAAAATAATATTTAAGTGTTTATTTAAGTCAAATAAATCATTGTAACACAAAATCAGATCTGCTAAAAAAACTCGAAAAGGAGCAAATGGAAGCTAGTATAATTGCGTTGTACCATTAAAACTTAAACTAAAAACTTTGTTCAACGATATTACCTTTCACAGTAGGCATTTTGATTGTTTTTGTTAAAACAACTAAAAATCGTAATTTCCGAAATCCAAAAGTATAGCAGCCTTCTTTACAACACCAAAGTATTTTACTTCCTTATATGTTTGCATCTCAACTCAAATTTGCCAGCTAAGTAGGCCTACAAATACATAATTGACCAAAGACGAGCGCAAACCGTCACCAACAGTACAACCTTTTATCACTTATCACTCACCAGTTGACGTCTTGCGCGGGTCATCTCGCCGGTATCATTGCCTGGTGTGGGCGTCATAGCTGATAAGCACTGTATACAGTAGACGGGTAGACTTGTAGATTGTAGGTACACTAGGTAAGCAGGTCCACTGTTGACCGGAGCTAAGTATCCACTGACACTGTGCCGGTTCTGCTTCAAGTTAACACTGTGTTCAATGTTTACAGATGCCATTAGGCTCAGCCTGCCAACTGTTAGGTCACTACTTGGCCAACCTTGTGACTTGTATGGCATTTTGCAACCTCAATCACTAATCACTTAGGAGATCTGGTATTGGTGGAAATGGTTGGTGTTGACGTTTGCGTAATGGGTTATGTGGTGTTGACCGATCACCTAGACCTAATCGTGTTATGGGGTGTCAATCAGTGATTGGCTGACACCTATTAATTGGTTGACAACCCCATAATTCGTTGAGTGATTGGTTGAGACCCCATAAGACATTGAGTGATTGGTTAACAATTTATAAGGCGTTGAGTGATTTGTTAACACCGAATAATTCATTCGGCGATTAGTTGGCACCTAATTATTTGTTGAGTTATTAGTTGTCACTCCGATAATTGATTGACACCCCAAATTAAGTTGTGTGATTGGTAACTCAACCAACCAAACTAGAGATTATGGTTTGTGAATCAATCATTCAACTTAATTTGAGGTGTCAATGAATTATTGGAGTGAAATATAATCACTCGACGTCTTATGGAGTGTTAAACCAATCACTCAACCAATTATGGGGTGCCAATCAATCTTTGAACTAATTATGGGGTCTTAACCAATCAATGAACCAATTATAGGGTGTCAACTAATCCCTCGTCCATTAATGGGGTGTCAACCAATCCCTCGACCATTTATGGGGTGTCAACGAATCACTTAACCAATTATGAGGTGCCAACCAATCAATGAATTAATTATAAGGTGCTAACCAATCAATAAACCAATTATAAGGTGCCAACCAATTACTGGACTTGTGGGCAATCGTTCCCTATCTCTACGTAATATGGCTATGAGATTCATCAGTTAGCGTTATACAAAGTATAAAACAATCGCCGAACTTTTTGTTTTACCCATATTTAATAGAGGCGAAAATGGTCAAATTCGGTCCTCTCCCTGTAAGCGCTATAGAAAAAGAAACTCCCTGATCACGGATACAAAAGTCCTACACACATATGACGATCCATAAAATTGTTAAAAACAACTAACCGATTACTAAAAGGTTCTTTATGTTCTTTTAAACTAATGACCAGCCACTCAATGTAGACGTTTTAAAAGATTATAAAAGGTCCGAACCAATCTGTGGCACTAACAGTATAAAGATCTAAAAACCAAACTTATTAGAATAATCCAATTAGTTACTTATGTGTTATACAAACTGTAATATAATAACTAAAACAACCTATAGCGAACTACGATCTACACTGACCAACTTGTTAGCGCCTCACTTCACCAGGTATAAACCCCAAACCCCATCACCTGGAATATTCCGTCCATGTTTGTGTTGTAAAGATATACTTGTTTGTTTTGACTGCGTATTATCGAACGGATTTGTAGGTTAATTGGTCGGTTCCGTGGAAATCGTATAGAGAGCTCTTTTATCGTTATCATAAACAAATTGTGGAGTGGCTGTTGGTCAGTGTGAACCTCTATCTAGTTGATCTCGGTGCAACTTCTTTGTTCCGAAAGGCGAAGTTGTTGCCCCAAAAAGTAGACGATCAGGATTATTTCTGAAACAATTGACTCGTATTGATACGAATTATGGTAGGAACGTCATTGATCCAAAATGCACTAAAAAAACGAAGCAATACCAAGCCAGTGCTCCGAAAATGTGTTTGGAGTAACGTCTGGACCACGGACATGATCCACCTCATTCTATCACGTCTAGGCCCCAACCATTCGACTTCATTTCCGAATCTTCAAATTCAGTTGCGTTGCGTTACGTACAATCTTGACTATTGTTTTCTGAAAAGCAAAACAAACGGTTTTTTAGTCACTAAATATTTATACCACTTATTTTTTAAGTACTTTGAAATTAAATTTCCTTTCATTAATATATTATTAAAGATCTTTAAGATGTATTCTTAAGATTATAAATTGTCTTTGGTGAAAGTAATTAGCTGTTTTGTACCTACTAACCAATTAGAGAACTGTAAGAAAGCACCATGAGGTACCAAGTTCGCCTCAATAAAGAAGTATTTTCTTTAATTTAGCCTACTAACTGATAATCTATTGCTATAGTAAAAAAAAAATGTTGGTTGATTAAAGACGGTCTAAGATTTGTCTCACTGTTTCCCTATAGGTTGTTTTAGTTATTATATTACATTGAATAAATAAAACATGTACTAACTTAGAAATTATTTGTAAAACCGTTTCGCCTCCTTTCAGTGTAAGAATGAAGGGATTACATATTGTTAGTGTTAATTTTCCTCACCTTATTTAGATAAAACTATATTTATTTTACCCATCTTCTTTTTGTTACTCGTAAATTCTAGCGAACCTTGTTTCAAAAAGACATCTTGCTCTATAGTTTAAGATGTCATAGAATCAATATATTACTCTCAGATAAACATATTTGCTAATGTAACAATAAATAATCACCAGATGGATATTCCTACAAACCATGTACCAGTAGTTTAATTTTTCTTCACTATTTTTCTTGTACTTACTATTTTGTACACTGTTTCTTATACAATTATTACATTACATTAAGTATGTAATCATTAAGATAGTAATTGTAATCATTTAGTATCTTACATCTTATACATTATTTTAACTGTCTGTTGATTTTTCAGGTAAGTAAAGAATATTCAATCTGAATGAGTAAGTATTCAATTAATGAATAAAACGAAACGAACTCAATATATTAGAATCTGCTCTAAGTCATGTGTGAGACTAACCATTATTTTGATTAAGAATCCAGGTAATATTTACAGAATCAAAGGCCCCAAGAAACAATTTTTTTAAATTAAAACAAGTTAATTCTAACGATTAATTAATACCATGGGTGTCCATTACATAACATATTCACCTCTCAAAGACAATGTAAATCTCTCTCCACCAACTTTATTTTACAGTTTCATAGATTGTTTCAAATGACATAAAAACAAACTTTTCTGTTAGTTTCGCTTCTGCCATCAAAAATATTTTTACAAAATCCGATAAAAATTAATGTAGTATTTACCATCAACATTTTCAACCAACAAATTTGTGTTAACAACAACTGTAAGACGCTTTCCATGGAGTGTCTGCGTCTTGTGTTACAAAACAGCAAAAATCATTGTTATTAATTAGTTACCAAGACATAATTATTAGTTTTTAAATTTTTAATTTTGTATAGTACGTTTGACCATATTTTTCTAGACTATCCTTAGCAGTTTATATTTCTAAATACATATGCCTGGTAGAATTTAAATTCGTGGAGTTTGAAAATCGAATATAAATTTTCCAAGGAATTTAATAATGTGATTAGTCTCTTTTACCAATGTCGTTATCTGTATGATTAACAATGCAGTATCAGTGTTCAATATTTGGAACGTAATTATAATGAGAAAAGTTAAGAGCCGATTACTTTGAAATATTTTAAAACCAAAAATATACATTACTTATATATTATTATTTTTAGGAGTTTGTTAATGGCTACTAGTTAAGTAGGTAACAATTATATTCTATGATGTAACGAAGTATTTAAATCTAATTTCTAGGTCATGTTAAATACACAATGTGTCCAACCCATTATACACTCTAATCAAAACATCAAGAATATAGGTAAAAAAAGTAATCTATTTTTTAAATTTATATACACAATTTAGGCATGTTAAAAATTTTTAAGTCGAACCTTGAATGCTCAAAACGAAAACAACCCAAGAACCAATCAGAGAAATTACAAGTTGAGGAAATTCCCCAGACTTATTTCGCCAGGTTAAACAAATCTTACTCAGAAACAATTTTTAAATTAAAGCGTTGACGTAGTTTGGTTTCTGTAAACGTTTATTTATGCAACTAGTTTGTATTGTACTTTTAAATTGGTACATGTTTAGAAGGCTAAAATTGTCTTCTGTTAATTGATTCGCAAAAAAATGGTGACGTCAATTACAGCGAGTTCCTGCATCCTCTGGAGTTTTGAAATCAATACCAGAAACTATGCATTGTATTTAAATAAAGGGAAAACGAATATGCATCGTTGAACATAATTAGTGTAGGTATTTATAGAACACAATGAGTACTTTCATAGTTTTAAGATTGTGAATTTCTCTGTAAATTTGGTTATACAAAAATTGTTGAAATATTTGCTTGTTTTAACCATTCTAAAAAAAAGTTTGATGAATAATCGTAATCAGTTTTTTTATAAAACCATAGCCGTCCGATACAACTAAAACCACCAATAATGTATTTTTTTAATTGAATACTTCTACTGTAACTGAACATATAATTAGATCATCGAACTAACTCAATAAAGGCATTACTACTATTGTTTTCTATTGTTTGCAATTTTTTCATTCGTGTTCCTACTAAAAATGAGAAATATTAAAAGCTAATATACTCGCCGCAGCAAAGCTGTAGACGTAGACTTAGCGAATTTCCATAAACCAAATTGGATTTTTACTCAAATATTTAAAAAAACAAAATTAAAGATTTATTCCCTATTTCTATGATATAGATTTTATGAGTATTTAGGTTCGCCATTAGGAATAGCAATTAAGTTTTTCTACTGAAATTGTATTGTTTAAGAAATAATCTAATACATGTTGCCAAATTTTATAAAAATACATCCATAAACAAGCAAACTACAATATTTTACTACTCCATGAGAATAATATGACAATTTTCATACTTTTTTAATAAAGATTTCTCCATAATCATTAACTTTACAACAACGCTTTAATATAATAGACTATTTATTATCTTAAAAAAACTTGTTTTAAACATTATAACCAATCACGTATTACCAATTGAGATTGGGACGTTTAGGATTATTTTAACCCAAAAATGATCGAAGGATGATTTTAATACCCCCGCCGCAGCAAACCTGCAAGCAAATTTCCATTTGCCTGATTGGATTTACACTAAAATGTCTCCTGAAAAATATGACTTTTTTATTCCCTATTTAAATATAAATAGTTTAACGAGTACTTAGGTTTGCTGCAA